TAGGTCCTGAATGACACATTATTTTAATAATCCATTCAATAAATATTTATTGAGGGGTGCCTGGGTGGCTCAGTCATTAAGCGTCTGCCTTCGGCTCCGGTCATGATCCCGGGGTCCTGGGATCGAGCCCCACATCAGGCTCCCTGGTCAGCAGGAAGCCTGTTTCTCCCTCTCCCACTCCCCCTGCTTGTGTTCCTTCTCTATCAAATAAATAAATAAAATATTTTTAAAAATAAATATTTATTGAATGTTTGCTATAAATGAAACACAATTTAGTGGGAGATAAATATCAAATAAACAAAAACAAAACAAAACAAAAAGATAACTCCTATATGCTAATGAAGAATGATACAAGGAACTTAACTAAGATTAGGCAATCAGAGAAAATCTCTCTGAAGAATGATACTTTAAAGGTGAGACTGAAAAGAGGAGTCAGCACATGAAGACTGAAGAGATAAAGAACACTCTAGGTAGAGAGCCACCAAATGCAAAGACCACAAGATGAGAAAAAGCTCTGGGTTGCTCGGGAACCAAAGAAAGGCCAGAGTGACCAGAAGACAATGAATGCATGAATGCAGGGGAGAGTAAGACAGAAGAGTCATGAGAGAAAATTTTAACTTTACATGAAGTAGAAGCCTAATGGAGAGTTTAAGGGAAGGGAGAGGATGAGAGTCTTTATCTTGAAAAAGAAATGAGTTAGGAGGATACTGCATCTGTCCAAGTGAGGACTAATGTAGTTTAGACCAGGGTGGGGTGATGGTGGTGGAGATGGCAAGACACGCACAGACTCTGGATATATCCTAGAGCTAAAGGCAACAGGACTTAGTATTAGATTGGATATGATTGTCAAATAGGAAATGTCCAGGATAACTTCCAGGTTTCTGGTCTAAGCAACTTGTTCGGTGAACTGCTGGTTCTTGGAATGGGAAAACCAGAAGGAGGAACAGGAAGCTTGAGATGTCTGTGATACACCTATGTGTTTATGAACCTAAGCTGATAAGCCTGGGGAAGAGGAGAGAGTAAAGACTAGAGATACAAATCTGGGAGTCACTGACATTTGGTATTTACAGTCACGGGAACGGGTATGTTCATAGGGGTAGGAGCAGGAGACAGTGAGAAGAGGAGAGGCAGTGAGGGGAGGTTTAGGGAAGGAAGAAAGCTCAGCTCCTAAGGTTTAGTTCTCTGAAACACCCACGTTAAAAGGATACGCAGAGGATAAGCAGATAGCCAAGAAAACTGTGAAGAAGCAGGCAGCACCCGAGAATGGAAACAAAGAAGAGTACAAGTTTCCACTTTAGACAAAAGAAACAGACCGTACAAAGGTCCAGAAATAAATGACACCTCAGCGTGTTGTGAGAACTGCAAACTATAGGGAACAAGATAATCAGATAGACATTTTCTTTAAAGTAATCAACTGGTAGTGCAGACAGAAACAGAGAAGGGTAAGACCAGAGGCTTGGATATACTGAGTTCCCTCAATAAACAAAAAACCTTTCATGAAAAAGGCTTTCATCTGACTGCCTTTCATAAAAAGTGATTTTACGAAAAGGCAAGATCATATAATACTACCTCTTGCCAGAAATCCAGTGTTTTCACTGTTGAACCAAATAATCCATCCACTAGAAGGGAAGGGACTGACTTCTCAGATTCTGCCTTGTGGTTAATGATACCCTGCTCTGTATGTGTGTACACATATACATGCACATGTGATGGAAGGATGGGCGCGCACACACACACACACACACACACATCTTCATTTCCAAGAAGTCACTGTCTCACTAAAGGACATGCTTTGTTTCCAATCTGTTTCATTCAGCATTCAAATGGAGTATTTTCTGAGGCAGAGATGTCCCAGCAGATGTGAACATAGAACTGCTGCAGATAATGTGACCAAGTCATCAGCACAGGATCTACAGAAACCATGACGCCAGGTGGGATCCTAAGTAGCGCAGAAAGTGAGAAGAGGTCCCGGGAGAGAGCCCTGGGGGGGGGGAACATCCATATTTAAAGTGCAGACAGAAGAGATACCCACAAAGTAAAGCCACAACTTATTTTTGTTTACTATTTTAAAACACAGAGTAGACCACCAACTCTTGAATCCTTCTTCCAAGATGAACAAATCTTCCTTGGAAATTAATATTTTGCCTGAAACAATATTTTAGAGACTCATCCCATACTACCCAAAGTTTTCTTTTTCCCATTTCTTCCAGTATTAACAAAGAGAATTTGTATTATAAGGCTTTTAGACAAAACCAAAAAACTATGTATGGTGTTTATATATAAAATTGACAAGATCATATCAACTCAAAGCAGCAGAAGGAATTCAGAGACAGAACCTCAACAAATGAATTCAATATAATTTAATTTTAAAAGGTCTTAGGACAAATGACTTGCCAATGTGACATTCATTTATAAGAGGAAGACAGAGAACTACAGTGAAAAATCTTCCCTAAACTTGGAGAACTGATAAAAAGCATAGGTCACAACACATGACCTATTTATAAAAAAAACAAACTCTTAAATACAGACAACAAACTGGTAGTTGCCAGAGGGGAGGTGGGTGGGAAAAGATAGGTAAAATAGTTTGTAAGGGGGATAAAGAGTACCCTTATCTTGATGGGCACTGAGTAATGTATAGAATTGCTGAATCATGACATTGTACATATGAAACTAATATAACACTATATGTAAATTATACATGGCATTTTCTTTCAGCCTTCCTGGGAAAGTATGATCCCAAGAGTTACATGATTCAGCTCCTACAAAGCATACAATATGGTCTACTGAATCTATCTCAAATTAATCCTAGTTATAGAAAACAAATTTAACAGTAGAAATAAAAATTTTAATTTACTTGAAAGAGTCTGCTACTGACTCTGTTTCTGCTGAATATTTTAACCAAGCAAATAAGAATACAAGAGGTGCTATGGTTGCTTAGGTAGACGTCTTTCCACGCTTTCTGCAGAAAGCCATCTTGTCTGTTTTTGCTCCCCAAGGCATTCTTTCAGTAGTGAACCAAGGAGACACAGTGGACCCTTGAACAATGTGGGGATTAGGGGCGCCGTTCCCCAGACCACAGTCAAAAATCTGAGTATAACTTTTAACTCCCCCAAAACTTAATTACTAATACTAATACTAATACTAATTATTGCTGATCAGAAGCCTGATAACATAGCCAATGAACACGTATTTTATATATGTATTATATACATACATAACATATCATAACAAAGTAAGCTACAGGAAAGAAAGGGTTATGCAAATCACAAGGAAAAACATTTACGATACTATACTGTATCAGAAAAAATCCGCATACAAGTGGACTTGCACAGTTCAGACATGGGTTGTTCAAAGGTCAAATGTACTTCCATTTCCAGAACGTCTTCTTTACCCAGTTTCCCGTTTGAAGGTCTTTACCGTCAAGAAGAAAAACTGGAGTGACCCACTAAAATCCTGCAGTGTTTGGAAATCATCATCATCACAACAATGTCTTAAGCTTCTTACTAGCACCAACAACATGTGCTGTCCTTTGCTGAAGACGACTACTCACTTGGCTCAGTGTAATATGCAGCCAAAAGGGAGGCTCTTGTGTATTTTAAAAGCTACAATGTGTACAAGGCCCCCAGTACAGTGCCTGCCATGTAATAAAGAGTTCAAAAGTGGTAGTTAGGGTTCCTGTCTCATCTTACCCTTGAGGGCAAGCCTGTGAGGAGGCGGTTTACCATTTCAAAGATGAGAACATGGCATGGGGAGGCAGGCACACAGGACGGGACACAGGACGCAAGGACTTAGTGAGGGACTCACTCAGCTGACAGAGCGGACACACAGCAGTTCTAACAGCACACCACCCTCTCTGGTCTAGCTCTTTGGGAAGTGGTTCAGAATGGTTAAGTGCCTGCTTGGCTCTGGAGTCAATGCTGTTTTTAAACCTGGACTCCACCAGCTGTGAAGCATTAAGCAAGTTACTGAAGCTCTGAATCTGTTTACTCATCTCAAGGACCTATCTCAGAAGCCACTTTTGAGTATTAAAGAGTGGTACAAGAGTAAGAATGCAATAAATAACAGCCTTCATTCATTCAGTAAACATTCATAGGGCTTCTACTAAGGGACAGGTTAGAGTCACCAAATTTATCTGTTTATCAGAAACATCTGGGGAGCACTGAAAAACTCCAATTCCCAGGCCACACTGGAGACCGATTAAATCACACTCGCTAAGGGTTTAGACACAGGCATCAGTGTCTGTGAGGCCCCTTGGGTCCACATCAGTCCCAAGGACTGCAAGGGGCAGACAAGCTCAGAAAAAGCTGCATTTTAGATTCAGCAAAACTAAGTGCTCCTAGTTTACTCATCTACCTTCCCAAATGTCTCATACCTGACCCCTCCTTCAGATCCCTACTGTTCTGGCTTTAGCTCAGGTCCCTCAGAACCTCTTCATGAACTTACTAACTTGCTCCCCCTCACCACTTTGTTCCATCCCACATACAAGCCCAGCTCTGATCCTAGCACTCCCATGCTCAGACTCCTTGGATTAACTTTGCCTGGCTACCAATTCAGGCTAGCCTTCAAAGCCCTCCACGAAAAGAAGTGGCCCAGCTCTTGAACCCTCTCCTCCCTACTCTCTTATGCTGCGGATGACCCAAATTGACTGATAACTCACTTTCCCTGGACACACCCCATGTCTTCCCATCTGCAAGACTCACTCCTGGGGACAAAGGAAACAACCTCACAATACTAGACAGTGTATTGCCAGATACGAAATAAAATCTCCAATTTAAAATTCCCTTTTTTTTTCTTTATTTTTAGTAATCTCTACACCCAACATGGAGCTCGAACTCATGACCCCGAGGTCAAGAGTCTCCACTCCTCTGAATCAGCAGCCAGGTACCCCTAAAATTCTGTTCTTTTAACTATGGTAACCTTGATTTTAAAGAGGCTAACATATTTAATTTCACCACTTTATATAATTTCAGATTAAACACACAAAAAACAATTCCCTTTACCTTAGTTTAAGGAGAGGCTGGGTCACCCATTTCTTTAACTTCCGTCTCCCAAATGAAGTTTTAGTATGGTCTAAGACCCAAAGTAAACTTCCTTTGGTTTTCATGTCAGTCTAAGAAAAATCAGAAGAAAAGTTTTATTAACTGGACATTGCATTTGTACCAAAACTGCTAGTTGCTCACGTGCCTTAATTAGTCCATGTATCCCAATTTTAAATGTTACAGATGCCTATCATTAACGTATGACTCATAAAAGGTGTTCATTTAATGTCTGATGAACGCATGTACACATGAACACACATACACGATATAAAGAATTGATATTTGCACAGAAAAGGGACAGTTCTATGTGTGCTTTTGGTTAACTAAGAATATTCAGAAATGTTTTAAAATATATGTTTGTCCTAAGCATTTTAAAAATACAGACTTTTCTGCCTTGGGAAATACAGTGAAGATAATTTAATTTCCTTTGGCAATTCAGTATCCTCCCCAGCCTCTGAGTTCTAAGTGCTGATGCTCCCATGAAAACAATGAACAAGTAAAAGGTACCAGAGATGGAACTAAAACTAAACTGCACTATAGGAATTCACCCTGGAAAGATTTTATTTTAGTCTGCTTTATTAAATCCTCAGTAAAAAATTATCGATCAATGCTCTGCTACTTCCAAGTTGAATGACTAAAAAATATTTAACTAGAGATGATAGGTAATTTTAACCAAGGTTTCACTGTACGACAAAAAGTTAATTAATAGGTTTAAATCTTATTTGGAACATAAAATTGCTTTCACCTAAGTTGTTGTTTTTTTGTTTTTTTTTTTTTTTCCTTCAAGTCATCAAGCAGGTACTTCCAGAATACTCCAATGTACTCAGATGCAAAGGTATATTCAGACATGGTCCCTCCCTTATGGTACTTATATCCAAGTGTGGGAGAAATGACACATAATTAACACAAGATGCCACTTGGCAGAAATTAACTAAGGCAAGACAAAAGCTGCCAGGCCTTAGCAGTTTAAAGCAGAGCACACACAGAAGCCACAGGTCACAGAAGGCTCCCCTGAGGATAGCTGACTGATGACGGCGGTCCATATCAACAACAGCACCATTTCTTCAGAGTCAAGAGCCCCACTAGCCTACATACAGCAAAAGGTCCGAAGAAGAGGACAGTGGGTGGAAATAATTTTCCAATTAGTTCCTGCATCACTGAAGAACCAGGCTCAGACAAGAGAGCAAGGGGTGGGAGGTGGGAGGGAAACAGTTATTTCATTGCTCTTCCTGATACCCAGTCCCCGTCTCATTACCCCTTTCCACTGCTCCATGGTAACAGAGGCCAGTTCAGTTCAAGTGCAAAGACAAGCCAAAGATGTGAATTATTAGCTTCTGTTTCTATAATGGCCCAAGTCCTGACAATGAAAGAGCTTTTAAGGGTATGTTTGCCTTAGGAATTTATTTTGAGAACTGACTCCACAGCAATAGGATTTGAACGGGAAAGAAGTGGCAGAATTAAGCTAGCTAGGAATGCCAGGGCCTGTGTCTTCAGGGTCTGACTACTTGCTCTTCTTCATCCAAGAAATGTCCTTTTCATTCTACTACTCCTTTCCTATTAGGCAATGTATACAGTGTTGACGAGAAAGATCTGTGGGAAAAATTCTCAATTTCCTGATAATATAACAACAAGATCAAAATGTTATGGAATTAAAGTAGAGTTGACTCTAGTATACAAGGATAGCCTGGGAGAAGGAGAAACTAAACGAGAGAAAGCAGTTAGTAATATACAAATCTAGGAGTTAGGAAAATAAATTCAGAATTTACTTTACAACAGTAATAAATCTTTCTGAAGAGACTTAAACCATTTAACTCAGACGGTTCAGCTTTTCAACTACTTACTCAAATGATTTGGAACTGCTTTTTATTTCTATGGCTTTGTGTTATGAACATTATATAAAATCTTATCTCTAAGTGATAATTTAATAAATGAAAGCAACCAATTTAATGTCTCCATTATCTTCCTAATTCATCAATAAAGGGCAAATAAATAATGATGGAAGTCTGTGAAATGAAATTTATGCATCTTAAAATCTAATTGAGTATCACAGTAACTTGTTTTATATGTTGGATAATAAGACTAAAGACATTTCAGTGAAAAGTTAAAGGTATGTAGAAAAAATATAACAAGGAGTGCCTGGGTGGCTCAGTGGGCTAAAGCCTCTGCCTTCGGCTCAGGTCATGATCCCAGGGTCCTGGGATCAAGCCCCACATCCGGCTCTCTGCTCAGCAGGGAGCCTGCTTCCCCCGCCCCCTCTGCCTGCCTCTCTGCCTCCTTGTGATCTCTGTCAAATACATAAATAAAATATTAAAAAGAAAATAACGAAACAGACAAAAATCTGCTTTATATTAATTTTGAAAGATGATGCCTTTCCAAACAAATATTTGTTACAGAAATTATCAGGATGGGAATGTCACTTCAATAATTAAGAAGGACAGCTCTATAGTTTCCAAAGTAACCCCCATATACTTCATTCTCAAAAAAATGGGTTCTGCAATTATCAATTAATAAACAGATAATGGGCAGAGTCATCAGCTAAAGATAATATTTCTGTTCTCACCTTCACTCTTAAGAACAGACCGCCACCTTATTTCAAATTTTTTTTTTTCAAAACCATTTTGAATCAATTAGCCTTTATGTTTATCTGACCTGATTCTGTAGGATTTCAAGGTTTCTTAATGTTGTTCCATTAATTGTCATAAATTCCATTTCACCCGACAACTGTTTAAAATTCCTGTAAAAGAATGAAATGTGAGCCGTAAGTGCATAAAAAAAGTTTTAAAACCAATTTAGCCAAGATATAAGTACATAAAGAAATGTTAAAAACTAAAACTAAATATTCCAATACCATTATGACAAAAATGAGTTATCTGATGGAAAATCAAACCAAAAGGAGCAAAACAAGTAATCATTGGGATACTGTATTCCATTGATGCTGGTGCCATTAAACAGACTGATGCTAAAAGTTAATTGTCTCACACCATAAACAAGCACAAGGAAGTAAATGGTACCAACATCTCTTTTTTGCATTACCAGGAATAGAACCAAACACAGTCTTTTATTATCAGCATAGCATGTGGTGGTATCTTCTGGAAAAGCTATGCAATTAGCTAGAAAAATATGTCAAGATATTTTAAAACATCCTCCTTATTCTTTAGCATGAGATCATCTTGATAAACCCTCTAACAGCTTTTAATCAACATTCTGATATGTGCAACAAATGGTATTTACTCTATAATTAACAACACACATTACTGGAGCTAACGTTTTAGTGGAGTATACAACTAAAAAAGTAGCAAAAATATTTTCTTAAGCTCAAAGAATTGTCTCTCTGTCCCTAAAACTATCCCAAATGAGATTAAAGTTCAATAAATTTCAGACTTGAGTATTGAGTTGCGATGATTAATAAGTGTACACACAATTCCAATTCTGTCCTTAGCAATCTTTCATGTTAAGAAGTACATTAATCAATGCATTACTAATCCAGTAATCCAATTTCCTTTATGTTTCTATCAACAGTACTTACAGATTTTATAGCTTATTTTTAAAGGCAAGAAAAATAAGGGCAAGTCACTAAACTATTTGGAGGAAAAGCATGAATGTTTGCATTATAAACTACTATACTTCTCACACGGCTGTGATGAGATCTAAATATAATCCACGTTCCCAAGCCAGTTATGGAACCAAATCTTCATCCAGGAGTCCAGAGCCTAAAATCAGAGCCAGTGCTGAGAGATGCCTTCACTTCTAGATGACTCCCCCAACCGAAGCTCCAGAATCCTGCAGCTTGAACCCTTGCTGCATATTAGGAATATTGCCAAGTAAGAACTGTCCTTTAGCAGCATGATTTCTCTGATAGGTTTGATGTAATTTCCACTGATAACTTGTTAATGATTTTTAGAGGGAGGCAACTCCAACACTGACTGACAGCAGGTGTGTGTATCTACTGTTCACTCCTTCTTAGGGCAGTTAACTTCATTTGCTTAGGATTAGAGCAATTTCATGTTCTTCTGCTATCCTCATTAACAGATCTAAGTCTCTTGAAGGCAAGAGTTATTTATGTCATGCATTTTGCAACACTTGCTGAGCCTAGCAGCACAAGCACGCTCCACAAATGTCTGCCATCTTCCTACAGGGAAGCCAGTTCGGGTTGGTTGGCTGGTTTCCTTTGAGTCCTAAAACCCAGAGATCTCCGTAAAACACCAAGGGACGAGAATAAAATGTAAAACGTTATTTTCAGGAAGAAACAATTAGGCAGTGATTTGCTGTGTAGCTGACAAGTGACCTTTATGGTCAAAGATCCAAAATGGAAGAGTTGAGAGCCTGGACTCGAGCTGATATCCAGCCAGTTCCCAAGCAGTGAGGCAGAAGTCCTCCCCTGTTCCTGACAGTTAGGCTGAATCCACACCCTAGCAATGATTAACACAGGAGTACGTTCATCAAGTATAGACAGTACAGGGATGCTCATTTGGTATGAGAGAAAGACTAATCAAGAACCCGTAATCCACAGCCTTTTCTAAAAACATCTCAGTTAGCTGTCTTCATCTCCCATGAACAGCAGAGCTGTAACATAAATAAGTGGCATTTAAGATCTGTGGACTATCCAGAAATACTGTTCAGTTGGCTTCACCCTCATAAGAACTAGTAAACCCAACAGTCCATGCAATGAAGAATGGGGTTTTAGGTCTAGGTTTCTGAAAGCATCCTTGATCCACCAATTAGTTCAGAGTTTTGTCACCTAACTCCAACTAAAAGTGCTTCTACTATGCCTCAAATGAACCTCAGAAGCAAGGTGCTGTCAGAACACTAAAAAACAAAGATTTGGGATTTCATGGAGCTTACAGAAGAGTTAACAGGACTGCTTTTGTGTCTGTTTGCTAAGAAGTATATGTGTGGCAGAATTTGGTTTGGACTAACACACAACCTAGTAAAGACCACTGGGGGAGGAATCTTAGAGCCCTCACCTATATTTTTACTGGATACAATTCCTGGATATCCACAATACCAAAAGAACCCAATAAACTGAACAATCAAATGGTCTTAAGTTAGCTCACAAAACTAGACCTTTAGAGGAAAAAGTATAGGTTCCTTTATTAATTAGCAGCATTAGTAAGTTGTGCATGTAATTTTTTGTTTTAGTTTCTTCCCTTACTGAACAAGTCCCCTAGGTCTGAAAGTAGACACAGTGAGAAGCAAAGAGTTTATTGAAAACTGACATCTGCATTGATTTTAATAAAAGAGATCAACCACTGGGCAATATTAAATTGGAATGATTCCTAAGGAACAATAATTATCAAGCAACATAAGAACTAAATATGTTTTTTAAAAAAGATATTACTTACTAATTTGACACAGAGAGAAAACAAGAGAGCACAAGCAGGGGGGAGCAGCAGAGGGAGAGGGAGAAGCAGTCTCTCCACTGAGCAGGGGGCCCAATTCAGGGCTCGATCCCAGAACCCTGAGTTCATGACCTGAGTCAAAGCTAGATGCTTAACTGATGGAGTCACCCAGGTGCCCCAAGAACTAAATATGCTTTTGGGTTTCCCCTATGCTTGGTTGATAATGTATTCTGGAGTTTTGACTCTTCTTCCCAAATACACAAGAAATTTCCTTCTGTCAGTGCCTAATTTCCATTAGGAATTATGTGTTTTTTGGAACTCAGAGTTGTATCTGCCAGCATCCTTAGGAATTCAACAGTATATGATCAGTGATCTGAAATACTCAAGCAATTCTAAATTATTTATCCTTCTGGAAAAAGCTAAATTTTATATGCTTTGAAATGAACCTCATAAACAATGCCTGGCTAGAATTCATGCTGTGTGAACCTGGATGAAAATCCTACAAGTAACGTGGGAAAATATCTCATTAATATTTCAGACAAGAAAGTACAAACGATGCTTCCCCGCCCCCTCAAGTTTTGTAACGGGAGGAAAATGTCATTGCTGAAAAGTTGCCAGTAAAATTTAAGATTCTATATCATTCCTACCCTAGTTTGTTTGTTTTTTAAACGAAAACCAATCTTTCGGATTTAGACACAGGCAGTTAAAGGTACAGATCTTACCCAAAAGACAAACCCTTTACAAAGACACTATTTAAAAATAACTTGAAAACTGAAAAGGACCAAAAAATGCACAAAACTACTATGTTACATATGAAATCTATAGTGGAAAAATAGTTCTCTATGTACAGTTTTCAGATTTCAGACATTCACCATTTGTCAAATCTTTTCAGGGTTAATTTAACTTATGAGTTACAAATTACCTACTAAAAAACTTGTTTTATTGTAGATTCACTTCTAATTGATTTGTAACACAACAAAATGACCATCTTTACATTCCTAAAAGCTGCCAAGAAGCTTATTAGAGAGGAAAATAATAGGAAAGATATATAATGAGTCTCCAGTGATTCTCCAGGAGGATACACAGGACTCTGAGTATAGCTGTACTCACAGCTATGATTTATTACAGTGAAAGACCACTAAGCAAAAGCAGAAAAGGAAAAAGATACAGAAGGCAAAGCCTGGAGGACTTCAAAGCTTCCAAGAGTCCTCTCCTGGTGGAGTCACACAGGGTGTGCTCAATTTCCCACGCTGTGAGTTGTGATGACACGCGTGGAATGTCCACCAGAGAAGCACATTAGAGACTCAGCACCTAGGGTTTATACTGGAAACTAGTCACACGGGCATCTTCTCCTCTACATGTGCAAAAATTCCAGCTCCCAGAAACAAGCAAGTAGTTAGCATAAACCATGTTCTTTGAGAAGTTTGGGGAGAGTGAGCCATTCTTATCAGAAAATGCTAAAAACTTTCTCAGATGCCAGTTAAGGGTCAAGCTTGCAAGTAGTTCTTTCTAAGGATGGCTGTCTCATCAGGTCTGCTATGTTAATCGTTATTTTTTGCACATCTCTCTTTTCAAATTCTAGTTCTCTTCAAGTATATGTGCTATGTTTATTCACTTTAGTATTCCTTCCAGTTTACTCTTCACTCCTAAATTGATCTTATTCTTGAATACACAGTTCATTCTTCAATCCAACCATCTCATTTCAAAGCTTTCCTATTTCTCATTCTCATTTGTTCCTTCACCCCTGGTATTATTTTCTTAATGTCTTTGAGCTCATTTTGAAGTAGTAGGTTATAGTTTTCATTTCATCTGTGGACATCTTTCCGGCACACATTCATTTTCTGTAAGGACATTATCTGACTCCTTATTTTTTTTTTCTTATAATAAGTTTGTAGAAGATTTGAATTTGGGTCTTTTTCTGTTTTTAATTTTAAGTGAAATTAATTTTCTGGAAGCTTTAGAACACAGGCATTGTTATGGTTAGCTGCTGTAACCTCACACATCTTCTGTGGTTTATATGTGATGTTCAATTATGGTACCTGACTTTTGCTTTCATTCATAAAAGATTAAATGCATGAGAACTGTCCTTTAACCATGAACAATTAGAAAACTAGACAAATTTATATTTTTTAAAAAACTGGGCAGGTATTAGACATCAGATAGCACAGAATTGTAATCCCTGAGAGAAGAAAAACAAGTGAGGTAAATTATGACTGATTCTTTGGAGAGACCAAGGAAACTAGAATTTGTGGAGAAAGCCAGACATGACAGAGCTGCACACAAGAGAGAGCTCCAGAAATCTGTGGAAGGATCCCCTCAAGGCTTTGGCCAGGTAGGTATTGATCCTTAAAGGTGTAGGGAACCTCCACAGGTCAGGGAAAGAACCCAAGAAAAC